TTTTTCTTTGTATTTAATTTTTGATAGTTTGATTAATATGTGTCTTGGCGTGTTTCTCCTTTGATTTATCCTTTATGGGACTCTCTGTGCTTCCTGGACTTGATTAACTATTTCCTTTCCCATATTAGGGAAGTTTTCAACTATAATCTCTTCAAATATTTTCTTAGTCCCTTTCTTTTCCTTTTCTTCTGGGACCCCTATAATTCGAATGTTGATGCATTTAATGTTGCCCCAGAGGTCTCTGAGACTGTCCTCAATTCTTTTTTCTTTATTCTGCTCTGCAGTAGTTATTTCCACTATTTTATCTTCCAGGTCACTTATCCGTTTTTCTGCTTCAGTTACTCTGCTATTGATCCCTTCTAGAGAATTTTTAATTTCATTTATTGTGTTGTTGATCACTGTTTGTTTGCTCGTTAGTTCTTCTAGGTTCTTGTTAAGCGTTTCTTGTATTATCCATTCTGTTTCCAAGATTTTGGATCATCTTTACTATCATTATTCTGAGTTCTTATTCAGGTAGACTGCCTGTTTCCTCTTCATTTGTTAGGTCTGGTGGGTTTTTACCTTGCTCCTTCATCTGCTGTGTGTTTCTCTGTCTTCTCATTTTGCTTATTAACTTACTGTGTTTCGGGTCTCCTTTTCGCAGGCTGCAGGTTCGTAGTTCACGTTGTTTTTGGTGTCTGTCCCCAGTGGCTAAGGTTGGTTCAGTGGGTTGTGTAGGCTTCCTGGTGGAGGGGACTAGTGCCTGTGTTCTGGTGGATGAGGCTGGATCTTGTCTTTCTGATGGGCAGGTCCACGTCTGGTGGTGTGTTTTGCGGCGTCTGTGGCCTTGTTGTGATTTTCGGCAGGTCTGTGCTATTGGGTAGGGTTGTGTTTATGTCTTGCTAGTTGTTTGGCATAGGGTGTCCAGCACTGGCGCTTGCTCGTCGTTGAGTGGAGGTGGGTCTTGGCGTTGAGATGGAGATCTCTGGGAGATTTTCACCGTTTGATATTATGGACCAACGTCCTGAACTTGGCTCTCCCACCTCAGTGGCACAGCCCTGACGCCTGGCTGGAGCACCAAGAGCCTGTCATCCACATGGCTGAGAATAAAAGGGAGATAAAAAAGAAAGAAAGAAGAAGATAAAATAGTTATTAAAATAAATAAAAAATAATTAAAAATTTTTTTAAAGTAATTAAAAGAAAAAAAGAAGAGAGCAACCAAAACAAATCCATCAATGATAACAAGCACTAAAAACTATAACAACAACAAAAAAAACCAGACAGAACCCTAGGACAAATGGTAAAAGCAAATCTATACAGACAAAATCACACACAGAAGCTACACATACACTCTCACAAAAAAAGAAAAAGGGAAAAAAATATATATATCATTGCTCCCAAAGTCCACCTCCTCAATTTGGGATGATTCGTTGTCTATTCATGTATTCCACAGATGCAGGGTACATCAAGTTGATTGTGGAGATTTAATCCGCTGCTTCTGAGGATGCTGGGAGAGATTTCCCTTTCTTTTCTTTGTTGGCACAGTCCTGGGGTTCAGCTTTGGGTTTGGCCCCGCCTCTGCGTGTAGGTTGCCTGAGGGCATCTGTTCTTCGCTCAGACGGGACGGGGTTAAAGAAGCACCTCATTTGGAGGCTCTAGCTAACTCAGGCCATGGCAAGGGAGGGGTATGGAGTTCGGGGTGAGCCTGTGGCGGCGGAGGCCAGCATGACGCTGCACCAGCCTGAGGTGTGCCATGTGTTCTCCCAGGGAAGTTGTCCCTGGATCACGGGACGCTGGCAGTGGCTGGCTATACAGGCTTCTGGGAGGGGAGGTGTGAATAGTGGACTGTGCTTGCACACAGGCTTCTTGGTGGCTGCATCAGCAGCCTTAATGTCTCATGCCCGTCTCTGGGGTCCACGCTGTTAGCCGCGGCTCATGCCCATCTCTGGAGCTCCTTTAAGTGGTGCTCTTAATCCCCTCTCCTCGCGCAGCAGGAAACAAAGAGGCAAGAAAAAGTCTCTTGCCTTTTCGGCAGCTCCAGACTTTTTCCCGGATTCCCTCCCGGCTAGGTGTGGTGCAGTAGCCCCCTTCAGGCTGTGTTCACGCAGCCAACCCCAGTCCTCTCCCTGTGATCCAACCGAAGCCCGAGACTCAGCTCCCAGCCCCTGCCCATCCCGGTGGGTGAGCAGACAAGCTTCGGGGGATGGTGAGTGCTGGTCAGCACCGATCCTCTGTGCAGGAATCTCTCCGCCTTGCCCTCCGCACCCCTGTTGCTGCGCTCTCCTCCGTGGCTCCGAAGCTTCCCCCCTCCGCCACCCGCAGTCTCTGCCTGCGAAGGGGCTCCTAGTGTGTGGAAACCTTTGCTTTGCTTCTTCACAGCTCCCTCCCACTGGTGCAGGTCCTGTCCCTATTCTTTTGTCTGTTTTTTCTTTTTGCTTTGGCCCTACTCAGGTACTTGGGGAGTTTTTTACCTTTTGGGAGGTCTGAGGTCTCTGCCAGCGTTCAGTAGGTGTTCTGTAGGAGTTGTTCCACATGTAGATGTATTTCTGATGTATTTGTGAGGAGGAAGGTGATCTCCCTGTCTTACTCTTCTGCCATCTTGAAGCTCCTCCCTGCTTTACTTTAAATATAAACGATTTCAGAAGCACAAGTTTGAAGACATTGAATCATACAGAGTTATTACTGTAGTGAATATTTATGTGGGAATTTCATACCTGTATCTTTTCTTAGGCTGAATCTTTTACTGTGGCAGTATTTATTGTTTTATCTATGTTTAGGATGGATATTAAATTTTAGGTTGGTAATTACTTTCTTTCAGCATTTTAAAGATTTTCTACTTTTCAACATTTTGTCATTCTGTTTCTCTTTTAGAGATAATGTATCTTTTTTCCTTCACGATGTACTGTATTTCATCTTTCTCTGAAAGCTTTGAGATTTTTCCTTTCCTTAGATTTTCAAAAGTTAAACCAAATATGCCTACTGTAAAAATATATATTTTTTAAATGTATCTTAATGTTTGTAGAGCTTCTTCAATCTGAGACCTGATGTCTGTTGTCAGTTTTGGAAAATTCTTCATTAGTATCCCTTTAAACAGTTCTACTGCCACATTCTCTTTAATCTTCTGGGACTCATGTTACATGTTATATTCCTTTTACTATGTCCCATGTGTCTATTAAACGGTTTTCTATGTTTCTTATAATTTTTTTCCTCTCTGTGCCTCAGGCTGGATGTTTTCTTCTGATTTGCCTTCAGCTCACAAATCTATTCTTCTGTAGTTAAATGTGTTTGTTGAGGTCTTAATTTTATTTATTACTTTTGCCACTTTAGAATTTGTGTTCTAAATTGTTAGAACACTTGTTCTAAATATCTAGTTATGTGGCAGAATTCTCTATTTTGTTATTTTTTTTAAGCACTTTAATTACAGATAGTTGAAAGTTGTATCTGTCCTCAATATCTGGATCACATGTAGGTCTTTCTTTGTCTGTTTTTCTTTTGGCTTTTCAGTCATTTGATCCTGATTCCTGTAATGTCTACTTATGTTTGACTGAATAGTGGATACAGTGTATGAAAAACTGTGGAAGCTATGGATAATGTTATTGTCTCCAGAAAGGACTGTTCTTTTGCCAGATAAGTTAGAGTAGGGTTAGTTCATATTGATCCCCTCAGGAATCAATTGGAGGTATCGGTGAAGGCTATACTGCTTCTGGTTTGCTCTTATTCTGAAGGCATAGCTCTTCAGGGGTCTCAACTGAAAGCTTTCTCTTTTAAAGGCCCTGAACTCATTTGTCTCTCCCAGCACTGTGAAACTGAATGTGCTTTGTTAGCTTTTTAGCCTCTTAGATGCTGTTTTCTGCTTATTGCCCCAGAGTCCTGCCCTACACGGTTTAGGAATTGGCAAACACCTTGAAAAGAAAAGCTGTGGAGAATGTCAGTCTCACCTCACTATGATCTTGGTCCCTTCAGTCTGAGCTGCTTGTTCTCCAGTGACTTCAAACAGTTGTGTTTTGTTTGGTTTATATTTTATCCTGCCAGGAGGGTTAGTCTGGTACAAACCACTTTCAGAATCAGAAGTTTTCAGTTGACATATTCCATTGTTTTATGGTATTCTCAAAGCATTGAAGAGATGGATTTATCTTTAATAAATGTTAAGCTTGTACTCTGGATACTTTGCTATGACCTTCTAACACTGAAGTGTAAGATATACTCTTTGGTTAAAGCAAGAAATAGAAATAATATTTATTGAATTGCAAAAACTTGAAGGCCCTTATTAAACATTTTATAAACATTTTCAAATCTAGTTGGAAAGGCAGCACATCTTCAAAAAAGATATAAGCTACTATCTAATATTGTACTTACATGTCAAATGAATTATACCACACTGCATACTATAGGAAGATAAGAACTAATATTTATTGCACACCACTGTTAGGTCATTTGATCCTCAGAATAAGCTGATGTTTCCATTAAAATGGAATGAGGAAAAACAGCCAGTTGTAAAAAAAAATTTGAAAATAGGTAAAATTATAAAGAAGAACATTAAAATCACCCACAATCTACTGAGAGATAACCATTAAGAACATTTTAGGCCTAAAGAACATGTCTAGTCTTTTCCCAGTACATATAAATGTATATTATATATCATCCTGAAGCACTGAGTTTAGTAATATTTTATTTGCTTTAAAGTCTTTAAATTAGCTATATGCAATTCTAGCACTCCTGCTTCAATTTTATTGTAACTTTTCTATTTCTAATGCCTTTTAAAATTAATCTACACAGTACTGTGAAATATTTTTAAACTTTGATAGTTTGATAAAATTTCAATAGTGCAGACAAAAAGCTTTCTAAAATATATGCAGCTGACATTTTCTTTTTAGTAATCTAGTACAATGGATTATTATTTCTCTAAATTAAGAATTTTGTTAAGTTTATATAAATTACATAATTGTATTGTGATTTTTTTTCTTAAGTTAGTGTAAAGTTGGTATGTTAAACTTCCTAATAACTTTGTTTGTATTTTAAAGGCCAAACTGTTTTCAGATAGTGGTTCAGCACTTTAGTGAAGAACATTACATCTTCTACTTTGCAGGAGAAACTCCAGAACAAGCAGAGGTAAGTTAACTGGTTTTTCAACTACTGTCAACTTTATTCAGCTCTTGTTTTCTTTTTTAACTGGAATAGAAAGCTGTTGCATTTTAAGATAATGTGATAAAAAGGATGCCTGAAATCTAATTATGTTTTATTTTAAGGAATGAGAAGCTTTCATGTGTAAAAAAATTTTTTTTGAAAGAAATGCAGAAAAACACAGTGTAGGGTTATTAGGAAAACTCCATTTTAAATTGACCTTTAAATGGGCTATGATGTTGAGTCCAACTGAGAATGTTCATTGAAAATCCTCTGCAAAAAGGTTATATTCTAAGTACAGTCAAAAAGGTAAGCCAGTTAGTTTTGCTAATAAGCATTGTTGTTATTCACTGGTTGAACTGTGTCTAAAAATAGAAATTCAGTCATCACAAGGAAAAAATTTTGAGGAATTTTCTGTTTTTCTCTAAGTCTAGATATAATGTTTACTTTCAGCACTAGCCATTGATCCATGTGCAATGCCCTTATTAAAACTTTTATTAAGTTTTAAGTAATGCTGTGAAGAAACGTTTTTAAAAATCTCCTTTTAAAAGTACTTTGATTTCTTTGAACCATAATATTTCTGGGGTGTTTAAAGGTATTTTGTAGAAATATGGCTATATTTCTTCTGCTTATACTCTATGGAAGGAACCCGAAGGTAGTTTAGAGGTGAAAGAAAGTGACTTTGTTGAAAAAAAAGAAGATAATTTGCCAACCCTGGATATGAGGCAAATGCTCCTAAAACTCTGGATCCTGGCATGGGCCCCTGACTCATAAATTATGAAAATATCTTAGGGTGTAGAATAAATTTGATGAATGAGCCATTGTGTTTTATGGCTTATAATTGAATATCATTTTTCCATCATGGAAAAATATCTCAATTGAATACTCATTATTAACTTATAATACACATAAAACCTTGTTTTGTGGGTATGTAGCCCTAATTTGCAAAAATAGGGCTCATAGTATTTTGCTGTTTGACTTTTTTTTTTAATGTTAGATATTGAGTTAGAAAAGAAACTTAAACTTGAGTATCCTATCTTCCAGTTATTTTATCATGTTCTTTCTAAAGATGTGTTTAATTTACATACCTGGATGACATTTCAATGTGTTTTGCATGCCTCACATAAATATAACATTATCTTATTGGATTTATCTATACTCTTTCCATATTCTGTTTGCATATATCCCTTAAAGTTCAAAAATACCACTGATCGTCCCAGTTTTTTATTACTTTGGTGGCCTGTGGTATCTCTGGTTATTGTCTTCTCTTTCTGAAAGCTACGGTAATTGATTTAGTCTTAAGTTTGCTCCATTAAAAGACGTTCTCTAAACACTGACAGAGTTCAGATTCATTGAAATAGCCAACAAACTAAAGACCTAATTGAGTGAAACAGTAGTACAGAGCTTTCTAGAAACATGTATGCCAAATAAAATATTTAGATTTATTTTTGGTAAACCTAAAATTGTTCTCTCCTTTCTCCAGAGTACTAGATCATTAAACATTTTAGAATATAGCTGCAACTTAATATTAGGCTGAAATATTGTTTTAAATATGTTATATTTAAAAGGCTTATAAATCACCCAGACCCCCTTATACATTTCTACCTATATCATGGTCTAAGGTAAAGATTAGAATGTTTGTCATCAAATCAGTCATCACATTATCAACTGGTTTTGCAGTCAGCCTTCCTTTCACAAAATGTATCAAGTTCAGTTCTGCTTTAGGGTCCCTCAAGTTTAACTGCTTAAATATATGTAAATTTATTTTCTGACTAATAAATTATCACTCATTGGTACTTAAGATTAATATAGAGATGCTACGATAATACAATCAATATTTTACAGAATTATAATTGTTTTGGTCACTGTTTTATTTTGTTGGAGCACCGATGTATTTAAAGCACAGGATACTCTGAGTTTAGAAATGGCAGTCTAGAGAGGGAAGGAACTATTGAATTTGGGGAAAAAACCCAAACTGTTGATTGGAAACTGCATAAACTATTGTATACTATATTTCTTTGAAATGCTGTTATTTTTTGTAGGACTGGATGAAAGGTCTGCAGGCATTTTGCAATTTACGGAAAAGTAGTCCAGGGACAGCTAATAAACGCCTGCGTCAGGTGAAACTTGATTTTCTTTGATTTGTGATTGTCACAAATTTGTGATTGTATTTTGCTTTATCAGTTTGCTCTTTATTTTTATTTCTCTATGACCTATTTTGGGCAACATTTCAAACACTTTAGAATTCTTGAGAGGTGAATCTTGTCAGGCATTTTAAAGCCATGCTCCCACTTGCTTCAGCAGCAGGAGAAATAGTTACTTCTTTATGAAAGAGAATATTCTTTATATACTTGCTGGATACTTAGCCCATAATGCCATCTTTTGAATACATATCAAGGACTTTTTTTCTTCCACTTAAAGTAACAATACCAAGCCAACAACAACAGAAACTATTCTGTTTGGCCCTATTATTATTATTTTTCTTCTTCAAAAAATTATTTTGGCCTGTGTCAGAAAGGTACTTACTGAAAAAATCATCTGACTGAAAGTACTAATCCTGGTAAACTTTAGGGTTTTTCATTTTATAGTAATTGCTTTTGAAACCTATTACATAACTTATGGGTAGTATCCTGTCTTATTTGAAACCTTCACATGCCTGCATGTTCATTTATGGAGAGTTAAGCTAGGCTTTCTCTTTCGTTCTATGTATGTAAACTCAACTTTATATCCTCCATTTCTTTGCTTTTTTCTTTTAGTTATCCCCAGATAATTGGAAAAAGTTAGGTAAATTTAACATTCTTGGAGTTTTGAGGAAAGTTTCTTTTTTGTACAGTATTTACTAAAGTGACTCTTGTTTTACTTATGGGAATTTCCAATAAGCTTGGTGAATTTAACATACTGTTCTATTGGAAGTGGATAAATGGTTATTATTTAGATGACTGAAAGTTTTATTCCCTATAACCAGAAGTCTGATACTTTCCCCAGGGACATTTAATTATATGCATAATCACTGTGTTCTCAAAGCATGTTTTAACATTTTGAAAGCTATGGAAAATCAGATTCAATTTTTGTAGATTGTATCTTGTGAGAAATTTCAGGCATGAAATTATTATTTGTAGATATAATAGTATATAATCATAATGATATAATAGCTAACAATGTCTTGAGCCCTTTTTATGTGCCAGGTACTCTGCTTGTGCTTTTATACATATCATTTCTAATCTTCACAACAACTTGCAGTGTAGACTTTATCCTAATTTTATATCTGAGGAAGCTGGGGCTCATAGAAACTGACTTGTGCAAGGCCACACAAGTAGTACGTGGCAAGAGGGAAAGAGAACCTGACACTAGAAGATAGATGGTTTAAGTTTTGCATCAAAACTGAAAAATAACTTCGCTTCTTTGGATCTGTATCCTTTTCTGTAAAATGAGAAGGTAGAATCAATATTTTAAAAATATTTTCTAGCTGTGGAACTCTGTATAGAAAGAAAATCTTCCAGATGAGCATTATATAGCATGTTAGATTTTGATTTGGGTGGTAAGAGTTATTTACTTAAATTAATAAAGAATCCTCAAAAAAAAAAAAAAAGAATCCTCTTCTCAACTTCATTTTCTCTGAACCATTGTTTTATAGCAGAAAAGGTGTATTTCATTATTTTTGCAGGAATGTAATTGGAGGAATAACTTGTAAAATACAATTGTATTTTTTTTTAAGTGGGAAGAATTTATTAAAAGGGAAAATATAACTGAAGGTCATGTTTTCTGAAAAAAGGGGAAAATAAGTCACTATTTTGGGTTTTTATAATAATTGCCTTTGAAACCTAATGCATAATTCTTGAAATCTGGGTTAACGATTTCTGTGTTTTCTTTAGGTCAGCAGTCTTGTTTTACATATTGAAGAAGCCCATAAACTCCCAGTAAAACATTTTACTAATCCATATTGTAACATCTACCTGAATAGTGTCCAGGTAGCAAAAACTCATGCAAGGGAAGGGCAAAACCCTGTATGGTCAGAAGAGTTTGTCTTTGAGTAAGTCTTATTTTATCATTACATTAGATGATTTTCTTTTGCTGTAATGCATTTTCTTTCCTTTTTTTAATTTTTTTTTTTAACTCTGTATCTAAATCAATTAGAACACGGTGCCAAGCTCAGGCATTTTAATAATACACACTTTTTTTTATTCTATTGTATTTGTTCACTTTTACTAGTAAAGTGCTATGTCCTTGGTTTTTCACCCAGTTATTAATATGAATTACCATTACTGATGAATCCAAAAACATTTACTAACATACACAGACAAAATGTTTACAAGGGTTTCCAGGATTTACTCCAGGAAGTTAAAGTTAGACAGTAGGGAAAGTGTAATTTGCTTGTCTGTATTCCTGTGTACCAAATAATAAAACATGTTTTGAATCTACTTTTAAATCTAGCACTTTCAGCTGGGTTAGCAGCAGAAATAGGGGGTTTATTCAATACTAATAAAGGAATTAGATAGTTTTATGCCAGGACATTTTCTTAATTCTTTTTCTCCTTGCTGCTTTAGTGATCTTCCTCCTGACATCAACAGATTTGAAATAACTCTTAGCAATAAAACGAAGAAAAGCAAAGATCCTGATATCTGTAAGTTGACACAGAAATTTCTAAAGTGAAAAAGCATGTTTTATATACTTTGGAAATTCATAATGAAGTATAGTCTAAAATGGAAATTAAAAAGGTGTGTAAGCAGTGTAACTTGAGATAGCTTCTTTTTATACTTCTACAAGTGTTGATTGCTGTATCTAAAAAAGAAAAAGACCAAAAAGGCTAAATTGTATATACTGTAAACTTAAGCCCTTAGGATTAAAGTAGGATCTGCTCACCCTCCCTCCACAACGTATAGGAGGAAAAAGAAAACAGTAACAGTGGTCATCTTTCTGTGGTGCTTCCTTATCCCTTCTTCCTACTTTTTAAGTTTCTCCTACTTTCCTATACTTTGCATGTAAATGAAAAAAAGCACTCTGTTAAATTTTTTTCTTTAAACTAGATTACACTGCTCACTTCTGGTAGTCAGTACTGGTTCTCAGCAGCACAACTTTTCCCAGTATGTTTCTGAAACAGGTGGCAATGGGATTTAGCAATTCACACCAGAGTGAATTAGGTTAATCCTTAAATACCTTCTTAAAAATCAGGCTTAGGGGGAAAAAAAAGTGATATGTGTTAACAGAATCAAAGCCTGAATTTTTCACTATAAATATATTTATTCTGTAATTTCTGTACTACTATTAAAATGCTTAACATTTTTAGTGGTCCCCCATTATTTTTAAGATAAAAATCTAACCCCCTAGCAATGATACAGAAGAAAGGCTCTTTCCTGATCCACTCCTCCCCACTCTTACTTTCACTGTGGAATCTTTTGTATATCCTTCTCTCCAGCTACACCAGCTTTCTTATAGCTCTTAAATTGTCCATGGATTTTTAAAACCATCCACCATACCTTCTGTTCAGACTGCACACACACTCTTCTTTTCTGTTTCTACTTAGCTACACTTCCAGATCCTGTTACAAGTCAGCTTAAGGGGGTACCTGTTTGGAATGGATGTTTAACCTCCACAGAATGAATTAGACATTATTTCTCTGTACTTCATTAGCATACACCACTTTACAGCGCTTAGCATGGGGTATCATAATTGATTTCTTGCCTCCTTGGCTAGACTGTTACCTCCATGCAAGTCAGAGACTGTATCTTTATCATGTCTGTATCCTACATCCCTGCCTATCAGAGAGTCTGGCACATAGTAGGCATTCAGTAAATGAATGAAGTAAGCATTTAGTATTAAATTTATGATCTTACTGAAAAGTCCTTTAATAAAAAGCATTTAACACTATAGATAAGATAGAACATTAGGAAAATTTGTGTGACTAATTACAGTGTCATCTTTTTAGACAGTAATCATTTGATATTTTTCTGTCACAGTATTTATGCGCTGCCAGTTGAGCCGGCTGCAGAAAGGGCATGCCACAGATGAATGGTTTTTGCTCAGCTCCCATATACCATTGAAAGGTATTGAGCCAGGATCCCTGCGCGTCCGAGCACGATATTCTATGGAAAAAATCATGCCAGAAGAAGAGTACAGCGAATTTAAAGAGGTATTAAAGTTACTTACCAGTCCAATTATTTTTAAAGGCATTAAGAAAAATAATTAACTTTTTTTCCCCCCAGCATCCCTACTGGAGTATAATTGCTCCACAATGCTGTGTTAGTCTCTACCGTACAACAAAGTGAATCAGCCACACACACACATATATCCCCATATCTCCTCCCTCTTGCGTCTCCCTCCCTCCCATCCTCCCTATCCCACCCCTCTAGGTGGTCACAAAGCACCGAGCTGATCTCCCTGTGCTATGTGCTGCTTCCCACCATACCCATTGAGTTAAATATAGTAATTTCATAGTTTAGTGGCACAGTGACAGGCAGAGAAGGTTGAAAAGCCTTGCAACAGTATGACATTGCTTTGAAGAGACTATAAATATGTAGGTTACAAACTCATTGTTTTTAATAAATTTATTCAGTAGAACATATTCCTAAATGTATACATACAGAAGAACGTATTTCCTGTTAATGTTACTGAGAATGCTTAATGCTGTGTACTTTCAACAATCTTTCTTGATGTCATTTTTAGCTTATACTGCAAAAGGAGCTTCACGTAGTCTATGCTTTATCACATGTATGTGGACAGGACCGAACACTACTGGCTAGCATCCTACTGAGGATTTTTCTTCATGAAAGGCTTGAATCGTTGTTGTTATGTACACTAAATGACAGAGAAATAAGCATGGAAGGTACAGTATGGATGTGTTAGTGTGATACTTTTAAAAACTGGTTAATGATTAGATTTTATATATCAAGTATATATGTACTCTATCTTAGAACATATTAAATAGTTAAATCATTTTACAAAGTTACTTAGTTTTTCATTCATTAAAAATTACAGTTGGAATGTCATGTCTGATTCTTAGGCTGGCTAATATGGGGCGGGGGTATTATCTCTAATACAACTTACTGTCATGGCAAATTAGAAGCCGTAAGAAAGTGACTTCCGTGTCCAGATCAATAGCTCATACTGCTTGGTTATTAAGAATAGTTTGGTATGCTTACCATGTTCTCTTGTTTGTTTTTTGCTTATAAATTCATTGCACAGAAGTTGGGTGTTAGCTGCATTTTATTTCTGCCTTCTATAGGTAGGTAGTTTCCAGGCAATTTAGCTGGACCCACAGTAGTTTGTAACAGCTTATAAATATGTCAGAGTAACCCATTTCAAACCAGCCCTTTGACTCAATAACAGTACTTGCTTCTAGGTTCCCCAAATAAACTGTAAAATCTAAAACTATTTCCTCCTGATCATAGAAAATATAAAAATATATAGATTTGTCAGGAAAGATAAAGTGGTGGTACATATTTTACACTGAGATTGTCTTTTCTGGCAATATTTGTGTTTTTTTTAGGATTTTATTAAAAATCATGAATAGCCATATTTTAGGCAAATAAGTTAATTTATACGGGGGTTTTAAGTGACATTCTTGTTTGTAAATTAACTCAGATTTTTTAAAGCGTGGGCTCAGTGGACAGCAAAGGTGGATTCTGGTCCTAGTTTTGTCACTATTTGGCTCTTTAGTCTTAGATAAGTCATATAACCATCCAGAACCTTTGTTCATATAATATGGCAGTGTTAATTCTTTCTCCTGTTTATGATCTAATGAAGTGAAGGAATAGAAAGTCTTTTGAAGAGTTAAGTTTATAGGAATATAGGATGTCATTATAATCAATATTTAATGCTACATGCAAATAAACATAAAGAGCTATAATTATTTGAGGAAAAAATGAATTCATTTATTTTCCAATTTGATTCACATTAGTACAATCCTTTACAGATAATTTTTTAATATATATATATTTATGTAGATGAAGCCACTACCCTATTTCGAGCTACAACACTTGCGAGTACCTTGATGGAGCAGTATATGAAAGCCACTGCTACACAATTTGTTCATCACGCTTTGAAAGACTGTATCTTAAAGATAATGGAAAGCAAGCAGTCTTGCGAGGTGAGTATTGCAGCAAAGAGCATATTTTAATAGGTAATGCTTTATAGCTAACTGCACTTCAAGGCAAATATATTAGCTGTCTGAAACTGTTCATCAGAACAGTTATACCTTTTGTAATACGTTTAGAAAAATGTTATGCAAAACAGACTTTTTAAAAAAGGTGTACTTTATTTGGAGATTAAAAACCTGGAATTGCACCAGAAATACATGAAAGTACTCCTGCTGTACTAATGATAAAAGTGTATGCTACTTTCAGAAAGTGTGCAAACATAAATTGAAGTTATTGTTAGAGATTTCTGTTGTGTAAGTTCTATGTGACACTTGCTAATAACATCTAGGTTTCTCCTCAAAGGTTTTTTTGAAGTGGGGGTGGTGGTGGGAGGGTCAGAGGTACAAGATAACCCCCTCAAAAGCAAATAAAAACATCCTTTTAGATTATTGAGGCTTCAGTGTAAACTCATAACAAACCATTAAGAAAAGGAGTAGAATCTCATGTATATGGCTATTCCATCATTTTATTTTGAAGGCAGAGCAACTATAGAAGGAGGATATTAAATATATCTTTTATGTCTGATACAAAATAAAGGAACTGCTTTTGATAATGTATACTGGGAACACTCAAAATGTTAATTCTGCACCAAGTTGTCAATTTTTACTAATTAACTTAAGAGGAAGAAATGGATAATTTAGTGTTGGAAACCTGGGGTTAACACCATAGTTGGTCTAATAAGTGTAAAGGATACAGAAATGCAGCAAGTCTGCAGAAAGTCTCTGGACGTTAAATCCACGCTAGGGAATTTAGATTCCTATAGATAAATTCTCTCCATTAATTCTAGATAAGAATTCTTAGATTTTAGAAGTTACTGGAAAGTTTTTAGAAGGGTTCATGATGCTGCCTCTGAGGCATTTGGTATTTTATTAGTCATTTAGAAGTCTTATCTCATTCAGAAAAACCTTTCTATTTTAATCAGCTTTTTTCCTCAAATAAATAGATTTAAGATAGGTTTTATAATAATATACGGTGATCTTTCTTTCCAATTAAATACTTCTGGTATATTTGTGCATGTGGCCACTGAAGCTGGGATTTTTTTGTCTTCTGGTTGGGAATATTATATTTAAAATAAAGTCTAATACAGTTTTATGTGCCTGTAAAAATCTGTGGTAAAATGTGGTAAATGAATAAAAGAAAACTTCATTAATGGTATTTAACCCAAAGCAACTGAAAACTGTTGAATAATCATTGCTCTTCAGTTGCGTAGATGGGAATTAATGGTAACAAGTCCATTAGGAGTTCCACAGAGCAAACCCTAGTTAGCCCCACACCACCACCAAAAGACTAATACAGTTTGAAAAATGGAAAAATAGAGAACCTTGAAAAAACTGCTTGATTACCTTGATTCATTTGCATTTATCATTGCCAAGATGCATTTATATTGATTTATTCCTTCTCTTAGTTAAGTCCATCAAAGTTAGAAAAAAATGAAGATGTGAACACTAATTTAGCACACCTATTGAACATACTTTCAGAGCTTGTGGAGAAAATATTCATGGCTTCAGAAATACTTCCACCGTAAGTGGTGAAATTTTAATTTGACAAGAAATTGTATATTTGCATTTTAAAAAATTTGTATTTCTAAAACATGTGTAAGCTTTTCCACTGTCCTGATGTTATTATACTCTGAAGAAGTTAGGGTTTTTAATCTTTACACGATGAATTGTGTTTAAGGAAACAGAGTGACTTGGAGAAACCAAAGTGAAATATTTGCATTAAAATAAAACAAATACAGGCCAGTATGTCTGGTTTATATAGTAACTTGGGGAAAGAATAGAAGCTTATCTCAGGTTTGAGGAGGTCATAAAAGACACGTATCTCTCCAGTATGTAGTTGAACATCTTGCTCAAAATGTACACGAGATAATTACTCGGTGTCTGCTTAGCGGCTTTCGGTGTTAGCTCGCTTATTCAGGTAGAAGTTAACTTACATTAAAATCTGTCTCCCTGGAACCTGTACTCATTAGTTCCTCTATATCTGCATTCCAGTACTTTTTCATACTTTTCTTTAATACAGAAGTAATCTAAAAATGGTAGGATTTCTTCCAAAGTAAATGTAAAGAACTGGTTAAATGAATTGATGATGCAAACTTTTTAAAGTTTTCCTTATCCTTTGCTAAATATCACTACTTGTAACAGAACTTCTTTTGGGAAAATGGCCAGTTGCATTTAAAAATGTCATGGATTTCGTAAATTAAGCTTTAGGCTGCAGTGAGATCAGTATTTTCAAGTGCTTTCTGTATTAAGATGGTTGTGTTATTTTGGCAGGACACTGAGGTATATTTATGGGTGTTTACAGAAATCTGTTCAGTACAAGTGGCCTACAAATACCACCATGAGAACAAGAGTTGTTAGGTAAGACTTACTGTTTTGTTAAATCATATAGCCTGCCCTGAGAGTCAAATGGATAATTGTGAAAATGTGGAGACTAACAGTATACAGTATACAATTTCAAGACCTTTTTTCTTTGACTTTTATGTCAGAGTCCTGTTGAATATTTTCTGAATTCAGATAGCTCCTAAACTTTAACTTACTTTGTGTTTTTGTTTTGAAGTTACTATGAGATACTTAGCTAGCAAGCTACCTTTTTGCATTTTCTAAAAACCTCAACATTCACTGATGGGAGGAGAGAAAGACTGGTTGATTTGTGCTGAGAACGAAAAGCAATAATTGTACAATTTAGATATTAATTAATTGGTTTGTTAACAGTTTGTGACTCAGGGCTAATTTCCAACCAGAGTCTACTTAGTTCTGAAGCTGTTACAGTGTGTTCATTGTGCAGTAATTAGGAGGAATTGCTTTGTCAAGTCATAGCATTTTGTAGCTTATATAGGACTTTGTTGTCATTTCCGTAACTTTTCCAATGAGGAAGCAGATCTGTAGAGATTAAATTGTTTGCTTAAGGTTATACAGAAAGTTAGTGGCTAAGGCAGAAGTAAAGGCAAAACATCTAAGACCCAATCTAATATCCTTAACACTCCTATATGCTTTTGTTAAGCACACCCCAACCCATTCAAGACAGGAGGAAATTAGTGCAAAAGCATCAGAGAATTCAGGGGTCTAATAATAAAATTTATCATATAGAATATATGCTGCCCATCATGTTATACACTATTAAAAAAAAATTGGGCAACTACTGAAGGCACCAATATCATATAATTAGTTTTGAAAATGTGTGTTAATCCTGCCCCCAACCTAAATCTTGTAAAGAGCCTTCTACTCTTTTTACAGATAAAATCTCTCTTGGTTAGTAATGATATGACATAAATGTTTAAGAATTGTAGATTCTGTATTTCTTGGCTTTAGTAGTGATTGAGAGGAATAGACACGTATTACAAGCATATAATGTTGCAGCACAGTTGTGTGTGATGTAAATGAAAACTTTTGTAAGTTTCAAACAAGTATATTTGTTAAGCAAATAGCTGGAAATTCTGCTATGTGGATTATCTGATACTACAGGGTCTTCTAAGGGGCATTTATGGCCAAGGTGGTGATTTCTATCCCTAGTTAAGCTTTTAAATATATGTGTAGATACCTAGTATCCCTCTTAAATTTAAAATCACCTCTAAAAGTTCCCAGAAAGTGGATTTGCACACTGAAATTCTTTTATGGTTCGGTGTTGCTAGGCTATATTTCAGATCCAAAGACAAAGATATCAAAATGTTTTCAAGCAAAATTTGTGCAAGATTCTTCATAAATTACCTGCTATAAAGAAATCTAAAGACTTAATAATTGTATATTAAGAATAAATGCTATCTGAGAAGCAACACATTAATTTTTCTAAGACTCCCCAAAATTAGCAAGCAACATCATTGGGAGGTAAATGCTGAGAAGTTGGGTTATTCACTCTGATAGAGAACAGAAACTGTGTCAATTATTTTAATCTCTAAAAGGAATTTTATCAACTTGGAAATAATGCTTGTCTTTACAAGGGCAGGTGCGAGGTCAATTATTAGTGTGGATTCCTCTTAAGAGGAAATTAGAGAAATATTATCTACACAAAAACATAAACTCTACCAGTAACCGAAGAAGGGAGCAGACTAGGAATAGCTATATACACTTGTAGTTTTACTTTGTACTTTGTTCCCAGAGTAAGATTAGCAGGTAAAATCATATATGACAACTGTTATTAAGCCATGTGTTTTTATACTAATTTTTGGTTTTGCTATTAATATTTTGTAATTTGAGAACTTTTTTTTTTAACTTTAGAAAGCTTGATGTCCTTTTCTTCATTGCCTTAAAAGCTTTTCAACATTGTTTGTATACATTTTCATTTATCAAGAAGTCACTTTTTCCCTAGTACAATGGATTAATTTTTATGTAACTCAACAAAATCAGTATAACCAACTTCATTTATAACAGACTTTACTGAGCTGTTCTGTTTAAAGAAAGAAAGAGAAGTTAGAGAATGTTAGTTTTAGGACCTTACAGGACTATGTGTCTATTAAAAGGGTTTATTTGTACTCCTACAGTATTTCAGAAATTCTTAGTGTTCCTAAGGACACACCTTCCTCAAAGTAAGTATAAAATGCACTACTAGCTTGGAATAAGTAAATAGTAGCCAAAACAGTAAATGTTACAGATACAACTTAAATCTTCCCAAAGTAAATCTAAAAATCTAAATTTGAGAAAAGTGAATAATGTTTAAGCAGCAAATATATGTTCTTAAAGTAAGATACTTTAGCTTATTATTTTCATAAAGTTGCATATTTGGTCTTCCCTACATTAGTTCAAAGTTCATGGTTCTACTAACATTTTTGTATATATATATTATTTTAATGTAACACATATTGTAGTTTTCTAAAAAAACAAAATTTCCCTCCCATTCAGTGGTTTTGTTTTTCTTCGACTTATCTGTCCTGCCATCCTGAACCCACGGATGTTTAATATCATCTCAGGTAATCAGCTTTTGATAAATTTTGAAATTAAAAAAAGTTTCATACTCTTTAGTAAGGTTACTCATTTTTCCTTTTAAATCTTTTTTTTTTTTATCCAATTATAAGACTTGGTATAAAACATTCCAAAGCACCCCTTTCTTCTTCCTTTTGGTACTTTACCTTTTCTTTCCATTTTGTTTCTTAACCTTTCTTTCCATCTAATATTTGAAGCCTGAGATGGCATGATTAGACACAAATCATTTTTTTCCCATCCCTACCTATGTCTCAGACTCTTATGATGATGATTTTTTCCAGCCTGCAACATAGGCTTTTTCAAGTTGGGAAAAAGAGCTTCCTGTGTGCTTTTAACCCATGCTAGACCCTGTCACTACCATTGCAAGTTGGATTTTAAAATTATAGCTGCAGTTGCAATAGTACTCTGTGAATACTTATAAAGAAAGTAGCCCTTTGAGATTTCCCAGTAGAGATTTCTTGTCACCACCTATATAATGTTAATTGGCATTTAAACTCCAACAAACCAGATTCAGTTTTGCTTATTACCCAAATGCCCATTATGGATTGACTTTCAGATGTTGTAGACTTTTCAAATAAAGGATAAGAATGATATTTGTGACTACAAATGTAATCATGAGCCATCATTAGCAGAAGGAATCTGAAGTATTTTTGTCTTGATAATTTGAAGCTCAAAATTTTTTAAAATTTTTTGGAGTATCTTACCTTTATAGCCATCATATCTCTGTAGTTATCTCCAATTGCTACTAAAATGGTTAAATCTATGGGTCTACTAAGAATTAAGGGTTTAGAATTCTTTTGGAGAGATTTATTTATCTGAATGTTAGACTCTGAACCACTAGGCAATATTATTTATAGTTTAGCAACTTCAGATAAAAAGAATACAGTCTAAAATCAGGCAGCCAGATAGACTATCTATAGGTTTTTACTGTTAAATAATTATGTTTCAGAGCTTAAAATTAATAGAGACAAATATTTTTCATTTACATCCTATTATCTATATAGGGCAGTGCTTCCTGATTAACCTTTAAAATATTTTTTAAAAATTAATAAATTGCATGTTTTTCTCCTCAAAATAAAGCAGAGATTCCAGACTTTGTTATTGAGCTTTAAAGTGAATTATTTGAGTCAGTGGAGGCTGGAAGCAAGGAATTGCTCATATTGCAAATTGCTAACCTTGGATGGGTTGAAATTAGCTTTGTGAATTGTCCTGTAGGGTATGTGGAGTAACAAGTCTTTTTAGCAATAAGATAAAGCTTTGAAGTATTTTGAAATACCCTGTAGTACCCTTTTCACAAACTAAAAGCACTGATAAGTATATTCAGTTTTTCCCCCTTTAAATCAAGCTCTTTTGAATTATACAGGTCATACTTTTTCCAAAAAACATTGAGTTCTGAATGGAAGAATATTAATATTTTTAACAGTAAAGAAATATTAAAATGCTAAATTTATAATGGTTTACTTGGAAGTACCTTTGGAGTTGGTGTCATTAGCTGTGCCCAATTCTCTTATAGATTCCCCATCTCCTATTGCTGCAAGAACACTGATATTAGTGGCTAAGTCTGTGCAGAACTTAGCAAATCTTGTGGAATTTGGAGCTAAGGTAAAAACATTTTGATACTTTAAAATGTCATTTATGAATGAAACTTTGACACGATAAAACCATGAAATATGGCATAAGTAAATTTTCAACAGTGGATATTTCATAAAGATAATTTATGATTTTGTTGATATGTTCATATTTTTAGATGCTTTTAGATTTTACTTTTCAATAGTGGAATTTTAAAGACCACCATTTTCGCTAGTAGTATAGAAAGGTATTTTTTCAGTATAATTTCCAGTATAATCAGATTCTTTCACTTTTAAATATAAAAATCAATGAGCATATTTCTAAATGCACCCCAATCAATTTTATTATGTATTGCATAATAAACATTCTCTGTAAATATTAAAATTCGGATGAGTTTTTAAAACACCCATATGTGATCCCACTATCTAAAGATAATGACTGTTAATGTTCTGGTACGGATAATACTATGTCATCTGCTTTTGTTAATATTAACAGATAACAAGTATCCTTATATGTACTTCCTTTCAAACTTGTCCAGTTATTTCTTTAAATGAACTTTGGAGTAAAAGTACTAAGTAAGAAGACATTTTGCTCCCCACAGCCTTTCCAAAACTCATCTAGTATTATTTTTTTATTTTTGACAATCTGATAAGCATGTTACTTTTTGTATCATTATTTCACTACTCTTAGAACTGTATGACTTTTCATGTCTGTTTCTTTGGAATCGTCTATTGAGGTCCTTATCTCATCTTACTGATTTTAAGAGAGTGTGTATTAATACTAACCCTTCCCCGTTTTACAACATAGCATATTTTCGAATCGGTTTAAGATTTTAGAATGAAGCAGTTTATAGTATGACTCAGCTTTTGAATTCATCTGAACCCTGAGGCAGGTTATGAGTACCAATTTTTTATTGCAGTCCCTACCACACTATATTTTAATTCCCTATATTCTCTGCTAGGTTCTAATAACCTCTGGGTACTTGGCAAATATTGACAGTTTCTCACTAATTATTTTTGAATGACCTACATATAAGAAATTGTGTTTGCTAGGCTATGTGTGCTTTTTTTCATCCAGAATTTGTTTGTTTATTAAAGTACTCCATACTCCTATTCCTCAGAATAGCTGCTTGCTTATATTAGAAGGAAAAATATGGTCATTGTATAATTACGTCAATTCTTATGAATAATGTGCTGCTACTGATAATTTGATTTATAAGAATTTTTGCTACATGTATGGTTTTTGTTATGGACCAGATAATGTTTCTGATGCATATATAGTAAGCTTTTTATTTTTATATTTTTAGGAGCCTTACATGGAAGGTGTCAATCCATTCATCAAAAGTAACAAACATCGTATGATCATGTTTTTAGATGAACTTGGGGTATGCATATAATTTTTCAAGTACTTTGACATCTATACTTAATATAGCTGAGTATAACTCATTGAAGCAACAACCTTTAGAAAGCTTTTCTATCCAGAGCTTAAAACAAAACAAAACAAAAAAGCTGCATATTTTTGTCTACCTTCTTAAACAAATTACTTCATTTGATATAATTATAACAATTTATTCTTACACTGAATGATTTACACCAAGAATAGAGGACTGTGGCTTTTGAACTGCCTGTGTCAATTTTTAGTTTGTCCCACCTCACCACTATGACATTCTGTTGCTGCTTTAGCTACTTTAACTTTGCTGCTACTGTGTGGAATTTGAAACAAGATGGATAACCCATAGTTCTGGCCAGTTTAATAAGTAAATGGACTGGAGAATGTATGTTCCTGTGGCTTTTCTAAGAATAAAATACATGGATTTGGTGTTAAACTTCATTCAGTGGGACTACATATGCCTTACTTAGGCATTTATAAATAAGTTGTGATTATAAAATTAAGAATGGGATTTTAAAAATAATTTTTAAGACCCTGGATTTCTTAGTAAAGTTAAATTTTCTTGTTATAGATTTTCAGATACTGCATCAATTAAAAACTAAATAAATTTATTAGCAATTCAGTTCATATATATAGAAACCAGAAAAGAGATGTGAATTTAGCCAGGTGTATGGCACTAGGGAATGCTAGGGTAGGAGAATGTTCTGCTTTAATACAGTCAGATTCACTTAAAAGCACAAGTAAACAACCACCACACCACTGTACAGTCAAACCAGTCAGGACAGCCTGTGGGCCCCTAGTTTGCAGCTTCAGGTATAAGAAATTTATAGTGTTGGTCCATATTGATAATGAAATTGAGAAATAAAGGAGCAGATGCTAAATGGCCATCATGTTCCTATATGTGAACTCCTGGGAAGTTTTGAAGCATATAAATATTTCCGATTACCAAAAAAATATAGTTGGTCCATGATGAATTTTTTTTTTTTTTTTTTACTATAGTGATGTTTAAGGAGCTGTATGAAACTGTCCAATATTTAAGGCTAGCTAGTTTATCTCAAGACACATTTCTAGGTGTAGATTCAAGATTAGGATTCCATTTACTTTCCATAATCACATGTCTACAGTCCAGCTTTCTCTATCAATCACTTTCCTAGTTATGCCACACAATCTAGCCTTTCAGATTGCTTAGAATTCCAATATTATAATACTGTTCCAGTCTCCTCATACTCTTCCATTGCTTTACACCTATATAAGTCAAATAAGACTCACTTCAAACGTCTCCTTCAGGCAGGCTTTGCTGAGCCCTAAACCTGAACTAAATAATACCTTTTGTTCTGCTTCCTAAGTATCCTGCATATCCTTTGATATATATAACTCTGTGATCAGTTTACATCTAGTCTGTGTCTTCTCTACTAGGTTGTAAACTCTTTAAAGGCAAATGTGGTTGTCTTTCATCGCATCTCTAGAAGCATCCCATCTCTAGAAGCCTTCATTCACTGAAAAAAAATGAATTATATTCTAATTATTTTTTTTAGACCATAGAAAACTGAGTGTTTGTAGTTTTTAGGAGTGTATAGCAAATACTGTCACCATTAGGGAGAGGAATAGATTTGTTTAAAACCACTGGTAATCTAAACTCGCGTTAAATTTTATTCCAGTGCTCAAAATAAAATCAATACTTAGTTACTATAACAAGTTGGTAGTACTGTATTGGCACTAATTTACTTTATGAACCTTATCTAAAGATACCATAATTAACACATCATTTCTACACATTAGCAAGTGTTTTGGGCAGAGTCCACAGATAATTATAGGCCTGAAAGGTTCTCATCAATGCTTTTGTAATGTAGCTCTTATTTATATATGCTGATCAATTTGGACAAACTATAGTAGTTTAATAATGAAACTCAGTCTGAAGGAGTGGAGGAATTTTAAGTTTAGGTTGCATTAATCCAGATTGGCAGTTAATGCTTGCATTATTTATGTTCCAGTTTAAAAAAATAATATTGCACAGTATTCTGCCGTGTGGTTGAAGAAAATGAAACTTGGTTTTGTGTGAATACTGAGGTCACAAAATCTATCAAGTTGCATTTTAAGAACATTTTAAGAGAATATTATGTGTTAAATTTTATCTACTGTACCAGTTAGGATCTTTTCAGAAGAGATTATAAAGAGTTGTATTTCTAAATGCAGTTTTATGATTCCCTTAAAGAATGTACCTGAACTTCCGGACACTACAGAGCATTCTAGAACTGACCTTTCCCGTGATTTAGCAGCATTGCATGAGATTTGTGTGGCCCATTCAGATGAACTGCGAACGCTCAGTAATGAGCGTGGTGCACAGCAGGTAGGTTTTTGCCAACCTTTTTTAACAATGATGTTCCTCACACTTAAGCAGAATGTCAACATAGGATTCTTTGGGAGGTGATAAATAGCTGAATTAGTCTTATTATATTGTTTTTGAGAATCTGAATCATAATCCACAAAGATCTCAGCAAACAGGAATAATGAGCCCAGACTAAGATTACATATTTTTCATACTGCAAAATGTCAAATCTTGCTTTTAAGTTAATGTGAACTCTACTGAAAAGTGGTGTTCATGCACTTCAGTGGCATGTATGAAAATGGTAAGTGAGCTACTGATGTCAGTAGTGATGTGGCTTTTTCTGTCTCTTCTGTCATACACATGGTGCCTGGCCAAGTACTTTTCAAACTGTCAAACACACGAGAATTATTCAGGAAGATTGGTAAATATTTTAAGCTCCAGATCCAGAGATTGTTTAGTGTGGCCTTAGAAGAGCTTATCAAAAATGGCAGTTTCTAAGAACCGTCACCACAGTGGCCAACCATTTGGCAAGGACCTTATAGAAGAGATTAACACATTGAGAGTGGTGATTCTGAGTTCTCAATCTGAGATTCTAAAATTCTCAAGGTTTTTCGAGTTTAGATAACAGCATGGATCATTTAGGTTCCAGTCACTTGAGAAACTTATGCAGAATATGTGCCATGGACCCCCTTATATGCCCTTGGCATGTACAATGCCTTCTTGCCACGCTGACTTGCTTTAAGTATTAAAAAAAAATCTTATTGGAGAATTATTAGGCTGTAACCTGACTGCCCTCATGTGCTCCTATAGGGCTTAAGATGTGTCATTTATAATGATAAATCTTTCTTCTGTAAGGTGTTCTATTCTAGAGAGTGTTCTGGCCTAAGTAGGTATGAGATGCCAAACGCAAACGAGTTTCTGTTTAGTGTACAAAAATTCTCTTCTATTTCGACCAAAATAATATGACCTAGTCAAGGGCTGAATGATACATACTTACAATTTTATGTTTTTGAGTAGAATGGTAATAATATTTTATTTATTCCTTTGCATTTATATGGCTTTTTTCAAATCCAGGTTCCCATCCCTGAGATTTGATCAAGCTTTCATTTATTTACTAATTATTTTCATACTGTTTTTCCTTGTCTAGCACGTACTGAAAAAGCTTCTGGCTATAACAGAGCTGCTTCAGCAAAAACAAAACCAGTACACAAAAACTAATGATGTCAGGTAGCAGCCTTCGCCGCAGTGTTCTGCATGGATTCAGCATGCCCAACATGGTAATTCACATCAGTATAATGTCTCCTTTGCTCTTGCCAAAAAATAGCACACCTTCCCACATTCCAGTGATGTGTGAACTATGCAAACAAAACTCGAGATTCTGCTGGTGAGTAACTGCGCCAGCAGCTTTGTAAGCTATCTGTGCAGGATATTTGCACTTTTTCCACATATGGAATCTTTACCAACCTCTGAGCCTTGGTGTACAGATCACCTTTCACACAATGCTATGACTGTATCTTGAACTTGGAAAATATATTTTCAATACATTCAATTGCCAAAGTTTTGCTGTCTCTTGGAAACAGAACTATGAAAGAAAGCATTCTCTGTTGACAATTGAGTATAACTGGATTGCAGACTGCTCTTACTGTTACTTCTTCCTGAATTAGGAATATGACCGTTTGACTGTTCAATGACTTTATTTGTATTTACAGTTTCCAGAGTTTACCATTACAATAGGAACAATCTTTGCTGTATACTTTTTTAAAATAACTGCTATTTCTCTTTGCTGGAACTGTTGAAAGAAAAATATATAGAATGGATCTATTGCTCATCAGCTTTATTTTTTAAACATACCACTTATTTTGTTCGAATTGTCAAAGACTGTATTATTTAGATCTCATAATGCTTTTTTGTTAAATGTTTACAACAGTAAATAGTTTGAATTCAATAAATATTATTGGTCACTGTGTACTGATCAACGCATGTTACCCATTCAACTGTTTTATAGATTACCGATTTCTTTTATATATGTTTAAAAACCCTAGAATGCTTTCATTGAAAGTATTCATTAATTCCAAGTTGATTTTTTAAATTATGCAAACAATTTCATCAGCCACTGAACAGCTATCCATCTTTGCCCTTCTGACTACTTGTTGTATCTGCTGGATATTTAGTTTGACTGTATAGTTTTATGTGCTTCTGTATGTGTATTTTTGTGAAGTATTCACAAGGGTTAAGTTAAAATAAAACCAAGGGATATCATAAATATCTGATTACTTCTGTCTAAATATAGCTAAACATTTAATTTCATTATTTTCTTCCTCCTTTTAGGGGCAGTTCAAATTTAGTACCAGAGCAAGGCCCAGGGAGATGAAACTTGAGATGTTTTTCTGGCTGATGGTCTCTTTTGAAGGATTCCATTATGTACTTGTTAACGATTCTTTCCCTCCCATAACTGTGCAGGGTAGGGACGGCATACAAGGCGAGCCAGACAGGGATGTACTGGGTAAAGCATTTCCCCACTAAAAAAAAAATTTTCTAAAGGCCTAGGTTCTAAGAGCAACACTTTAATGCTTAAAATACAGGAAGAAACAAAGTGTTAAAACTATACTATGCAGAAATTTTGTGAACCCTCAGTAAGCTGCAAGTATTAAATGCTGTTATTTATATAGAGGTAGCTAGCCCTGAAGTAGCTGCGATCACAGTTGAACAGTGATAGCAAAACACAAACAAACACACCAGGTGCTTTTTCTTGATGTCAACCCAATTCCATATTTTCCCCTCTGCTTTTCAGTTAGACAATAGTATGCCATTTGGTCTCCTTCCAGGATAGACTAAAAGGGATATGGACATCTCCGAAAACATTTCAGCAATATGCAAAAAGGTCTAGATTCTAGTGCTCAGCAATTTGTTCTCTCCCACTACTCACATCTCAGTTTTAACCATGCTGACCTGCCATTTCTCAATCTGAACTGCTTCTCCTGCCTTTTATTTCTAAAAAAAACCCACAAACCTAAAGACACTCTGCTTTTTAAAATTTTAATGACATGCTTATTATCTCTTAAGCTGGAATAGGAAACTTGTCATTTACCTTTGTAGGCCTTGGAGTAACTTTTAGCTGGTCAATGATGAAATGAAACATTTTTTTTAAAGGGGCTGGGTAGGAAAATTTTCAGAGATTGCTCTGACGCCAAACTTTAGTGACCTAAAAAAGAAACAAGATAAATTCGGACCACTGCTTCACCGGGACTGCAGTGAAGGACTGTCAATTTCGGCTTCTTCCCCTCCACTTTTATAAAATCACTCTTCGTGAATTTTATTCCTCAGTGAGAAGGAAATTAAAACAACGCAAACCTAAAATATAAAGCATTATTAAAGGATATACATAAATACTACCTTCAAATACTGAAATGTAATTAAATGGTACCTACACTTTATGGAAAAGTACATCCTGGGATGCACTGAGGAGAGGTTTGCATCTGTAAAACTCAGATTTAGGGCAGTTGAGTTTCCCAGAATTCCTTCAACCCCATTTTCCAGAAACAATCTGACAGACCTTCATAATTTGGTTCCAACTCTAGGAACTGAGTAAGATCACAGTTAAATAACTGAATAAATGCTATAGTAGCCAACATTCCTTAGCACTTTTAAAACTGACTAGTAACTAAGTTTTGTTTTTTGTGGTGCCTTTTCAGAAAAAGATAAGTTTGCTTAATGACATCTTGTATAAACAATATAGGCAAATAAATTACAGCTTTAATTTGGCTACCACAGAAAGACTGATTTAAAGACTGATTTGATATTAGTCATGGTGGGGCAAGAATACCCAAACCAGGTGCTATTCTGGCTCCTTTGAAGATGTTTTATTTCACATAAAGCTACCCTGAAAAACTTTTAAATAACATAAATAGAAAAGTTTAATATATTTTGATGCTTTCACATTACTTCATTTTTAAAGTTAAATGCCAGATATGCTTCATCCTTCTGTTGAGTAGTTAGCATTGACAAATCAATTTCGGATGGTTAGAGGGAATCTACCAGGTCATCGTCAGTCCATTCTTCCTAAGAAGGAAAGAAAATGTTATAAGGATAACATTATACTGAAGCATAACCAGTACTGTTTACCTTCTTGCCTCCCTTTAGGAAAATGTTCTCCTTTCGCTATGCTGATTATAAAAGGTAAATGAACCAGGAAAATGTGTAGCAGTTTAACCTTATAATAATATGGCATGGTCTCACCAGACTAGTCCAGTGACAGGAATAAACGTTACAGTTGTGAACTTCTGCCTCTGATTATTCATTGTTATCTGACTTGCCAGGTACAATTTTTTTTTTAAACAAGGTAGGAGAAGAATCCTTGAAGATCTAAAAATATATCCCTACCGCCTTCTATGACCTTAGGAGGGATTCTTCATCAAGTAATTATTATACTGCTTCAGAACAGGCCAAGACAGAAGTGAGAAAAATTCCTCTAATAATGGACAATGTACATAAAGGATGCAAAAAAAGAAATGAAAGCTTTCCAATACCCAACACCTCTGTCTATAATGCTTGCACTCTGGAACAGTAAAATCCTAACATTATGGTTGTACCAGAATATACAGCAATGATAACTTAAAATTTACCTTTGGAGAACATACCTCCTCATGTTTGGATTTCTTTGAGACATAATCATCATCTTCATAACCTTTCCTCTTTTTCCTGTAATTAAGCAACCATCAACAAGCAATCTTATACTGGCAACAGAATCTATAAGCTAACAAGGCTATGAGATACATCTATTGAAGAACAAAGCCTGGATAAAGGGAAAGAGGTGAAAAATTATGGACAGGAAGACAATATCTTTCAAATTCCTCTGAATTCAATGCAATTCTAATTAAAATTCTAAAAAATTTTTCATGGAGCTTATCAAGTCAAACTCTGACCTGGGAAAGATGCTGCAAAAATAGCAAAAGAATCTGAAAAAGAACAAAGCATGGGGAGCTCGTCCCACTTAACATCAAAACACATACTATATATGTAAACTAAGTAATTAAAAGTGTGGTAGTCATCCCTTGGTATGAGGGGGATTGGTTCCAGGACCCCCCATAGATACCAAAATCCCTGGATGCTCAAGTCCTTTATATAAAATGGCAGCAGGACAGTTGGTGCTCTGCATCTGCACATGCAGAGGGCTGACTATCAGCAAAGAGTTACAAGTACCAATGATCAGAGCAGACAGGCAAAAAACAACAAAGTATATATAGGGATTTAATCTGTAATAAATGAGTATTTAAAATAACTAGAAAAAATCATGAAATATTTTTAAATGGCTGGCACAACAGTTAACTTATTTGAACAAAAATTAATATTATGAGATTTCTACCTCAAACCAGGCACAAACAATTGTAAATTGCTTTTACAGCTGAACAAAAGGCAAAATAAAATATTGATTAATTTAGGGTAAGAAAGGTGTTCAGATGTAAGAGTGTGAAGCAAAAGACAAGGTGCCTAAATAACAAAGTGAAAGAAACAATAGAAGAAAATAGCTGTATGATATATATAGAAAGATGAGTATATAAAAAGAACTACAAGAAAATAACACCAGAAACTTGGGCACGGGTTATAATTATGCAATACAGAAGAAACACAAATGATTGTTAAACACAGAAATATCAATGCTTCAAAGTATTAGGGGAAATGCAAATTAAAATACCAACATGATACTATTTTTTCACCCAGACTGGCAAAAGTTAAAGATTGATACTATTAAATGTTATACAATTTATATGAAAACAATGAAAAGAAAACTTATTTCATATACACATACACAGAGAAAAGCCTGGCAAAGGTAAAACACCAACTATATGTTACCTCTCAGTTGAAACTGGAATTTAGGTTTTGGTCAAAGAGAACTTTGGTTTACCTGTATTAACTGGCTTTAATAATGACAATATATTATTGTGTGTTGAAAAAGATAAAAGAATTTTAAAGACCAAGGAAAGATATTTTACCCTGAAGTAGTACTAATAAGTGTGGTCCATGGACCAATGCTGCTGCTCCATGAACCATTTCCAGTGTGCAATAAGTACAGAAATTAAGTGTATGTTTAGAAACTTTTATAGCAATTTGATAAATTTATGACTGTTGATTCTAATAAAATTTAAGCTTATTTTTTATGTCTTTTTATTTTGTTTTTCTAAGTAATTGGTGGTTATATTTTACAGAAGTAGAGGTCTGTAATGGGTTAAAAAGAAAACCAACAGTCCTTTACAGACAGTTTGAGAAGCACCCCTCAAGTACTCATAGATATGCAAGATTTGCTTGACACAGTGCAAAGCAAATGGTCACCTGGAGTAAGATGTAAATTCTGGCAATTAGGAATTTTGGATTATGGTCCATTACCTAGGTGGAAGGGTAGGATTAATAGTTCAGTGGTCTAATTCAGAGGTTGACAAAATTTTCTTTGAAAAGGTTGGAGAGTAAATATTTTAGGCCTCGTAGGCCATGCAGTTTCTGTGACAACTACCCAACTCTTCTGCTATAGTGTGAAAACAGCAGTAGACAATAATGCAAACTACTGGGTGTACCTCTGTTCCAATAAAACTACTACTATAAACAGGTAGTGGCCCAGATTGGCCCATGGGCCATAGTTTGCCAACGCCTGGTCTAAGCCCATTTCAAAATCAATGTGAAGAGATTATAAATCAGTGCTTTAATACTTTCATTCATTAAAGTCAACATTTTTCTTTACCTCTCTGCCACCACTCCTTCCTTCCTCTTAGTTACCACTGAAACCCAGGAATGAAATTTACCAATTTTAAGTTCTATGCTAAGCCATGTTTTACAGTTACAGCTACAAATATATAGTCCCATATGTTGCACACTTGATAAGTCCTTGGATATTCTCCTACTACAACTTTATAGTTAAAGAATTTGAGTCATGTGTACCTGATTTGAAGACCTTGGAATGCTGTTCTGGCTTCTCATATATTATGCAATAGGATACAGTCCCCGATTAGAGATCAAAAACATCTCAAATGCATCTTACTGTTCAGATGCCAGAGCTAACCCCCAGTAAATTTTACAGAATGAATTCCACAGAATAGAAAATAATAGTTTTACCATTCCTATACCTGCCCATATCCTCAATTGTTTTAAATGTCTAAAAGGGTTAAGTAGATCCTTCAAACTGCAAAGCATAAAGAACCTGAAAATGGTGATTTCCACATTCAGCCTACAAATCAGTAAGACACATTAACAGTGTTCCTTATGGCTGCAAGAAGAGATCGAACAGCACATTATCCTATTGGTTCTGTCTTCAACATAAAGTTACCACTGAGAGAAAATATGCCAAGTTTCCCCACCCTAGCTAACAGAAATAAGTGTGGAACAGTATACTTGTTCTTCAGAGGAGATACCAGACCTACAGAGAACCGAAAGATTAAAAGGGCAAGAAAAGGTGCAGGAATTCCCTAGGAAAACTGCCCACGGGACCCCACAAGGAGTAACAGAACAGGACAGGGCCCACAAGCCAAAGAACACATTAGTCATAGCAGGAGCAGAATGTACTATGAAAGCGAAATTCGTAATTTATTATCTCGTGTTTAATCCTGTTAGAAATCTCCAGTCAATAAAAAAAATCTGATTTAATGGGTAAGTCAGTTTTCCTCACATGAGCAAACATTTACCAATTAAGTAATTTAAAGACAAGCTGGAGACAGTAACAATTATATCTATTCTCGAATTAACAGTCTCACATCTACTTACGTAATTACGTTAAGTGCAAGCTCAGCAGAGTGACATCTCTCCAACTTCTGTTTCAGAACAGCAACTTCTTCAGGTCTGGGTGGTTCATATTTTTTTACCAAGTTCCTCATACCTATGTGGAGATAAAAAAAGCATTTATACCAGATAATAAAAAGCCTTGTTCTCATAAGGGAGTTGAATGATGTTTTCCCATCTAGTTTTGGGAACAAAAAACACTCTTGAAATGGGATTATTCTTACCAGGATTAATACTGTTCCACATTAAAATCCACTGAACACCATACTTCTAGTTCAAGTTATTATAGCTGTCTGCTGCTTAGCCCACATCATGTACAGCCTAAAGATAAGCATGCTCTACTAGTCAGTATTTTTTTTAAATCCTACCATGGTCACTTTTTGCTTTGTTCCCTGCCACCCACCAGATTCATAAGATTCTATCCTACAGATGGTAGGCCAAGAGTGTACTACTTATTTACAAAGAAAACCATTATTACATAACATGTAATGAAGGGAAGATGCTTAGTAAAAACATGTCAAGATTTATTAGGGAAATGATGAGAGATCCAGGGCTTACTATTAACCAGCCACGTGCTCCAAATGAGTGACTTATTTCATAATGCAAATAAAGCAGTGTTTGCAACTGAATTAATACTAGTGACTTAACACCCTTAGGACAATATCTTTGTGTGAAAAATGATGAATAAGATACCTTAATATCGCTAAAGCTCTGAGTGTTTTATCAAGAGCTATTCTTATTTTGTACTAAAACAAATGGAATAAAATAAAGATACTGAGACAAAATCAGTAATAAAACTGTCAGCTATAAAATGAGCACAGTGAGTTACCTTTAAGACCTCTTCTACCTACTAAATTCCCTGATCCAAATGTCTATGGCCAAACTGCAGTTAGCTTTGGAAGTGAACCCTCTAGTGGTATAACTGAAAACCTACCTTATGATTCATAAATCACAAATCGATTTTTCTCAAAGAGGGAAGGCATCAAAGATCATTTCAAGGAAAGAAATAAGAAATGATACTTCCACACCCTGAAGCATGTTGACTTTTGAAACATAAAACATGTAAGAAGTACTCCCTGTCACCCAAGATCAAGATATTCAATCTCATATTTTATTGGTTTATTCAGTATTTAAACCACAGATTTTATTAACAAGGGCATTGGCACAAAAGGTTTGGAAACAAACACACTGTTTTTAACCCTAACGAGTAGTCTAGTAGCCATGAGCATGCAGCGTGACATGAGCAAGTATGAAAATGGAAAGGACTGGCTAACCTAGCCAACCAGTTTAGTGGAGGTTCTGACTCAACAAGTACCTACTGTACAGCTAAGGAAACTATATTCAATATCTTGTAATAACCTATAATGGAAAGGAATCTGAATCACTTTGCTGTACACCTGAAACTAACACAACATTGTAAACCAACTATATTTTTAAAAAGTGAAAGAAGAAAAAAAACCCTTAAGACAGTGTTTCTCAGCATTGACACTAGTTTGGGCTGGATAATTCTTTGTTGTGAGGAGCTGTGTTAGTTTCCTGAGGCTGCTATTAAAAATTACCACAAACTTAGTAAGGCTTATTAAAACAACAGAATGGATTCTCCCACAGTTCTGAAGCCCAAGAGCCTGAAATCAGTTTCATTGGGCCAAATTCAAAATACTGGCAGAACTAGCAAATGACACATATTAACTAGTTAAAGCTAATTTACCTACAAAATGGAAGTTTCAAATTTAATTAGGCTTTAATTCCCTGAGATCTTTTTCAGTGCTCATCATATTTGGGTATATTTTAAAAGGACCCTGTTTTGAATCTCAATCCTTTCTGAATCTGATTATATTTTCACTTTCCTAAAAAGTTCTGTGTAAAAACTACTTTCTTTCATGTACCTTCTATTTGTTCTTCACCAATGTATCCTTCATGCCTCCATGATACAGTAATTCAATATAAGTAAATATAAACAATAATCTGTTATCTCAAGTTAAATACCAGGATGTTATTTACTTAGAAAGTAGCTTTGTGATAGAAGAGTATTTTATAAAGTGTTCTGTTTTACTTACTTTTCATTATATCTAGTAACTGTGACAAGCAAGTTCTGTTCTCTTTTAGCATCAGACTTTCTGATAAATAACTGGAAAAGAAAGGAAAAAAATTTAAATCTATTGAACACATATAGCATCTTGAGAAAATATGACATCATAAATTATTTTCCTCCATGTTCATTTCATCAAGATCAGTTTTTAAATAAATTTACTTTAAAACTGTTAAATAACAATACTTTGAACTCTACTAAACTATAATCTGTATCTCTTACAGTCTTAAGGATTTACTACAATTTATACTAGATTCAAAATGCTTAATGTTCAAGTTAATTTAATTTCCATAATATATTCAGAGAAAAAATGATATGAAACTAACAGGAGCAATACTCAATACTTTTAATGTTAAGTGTTTAATATTTAGACCTATGAGTTTAATCTCACTCATTTTACAGGTGAGGAATCTGAGTCACAGGGACAGAGAAGTTATGAATAAAGTCAGGTAGCAGCAGAGCTAAAACCTGGCACTAGTAAGGATTCTCTCCCCCCTTAATATCAAGTCCATGTTAACTATAATTGCTCTTCTTGGGACAAACAGGTATTCAAACCAATAAGAACATCACCCCACGCTTTACAAATCTATTACATCTTTTTTGCATCAAGTCCAGATCAAAGGTGTTAATACTATTCCATAAATGTACATAAAGCCCAATTATCTGTTCTCTTGGAACTAATGACAGTATAAAAATGTAATTTCTATTTTTAAATTTTTAGTTACTCTGAGGTTTTATATACTTGAACTTGATCTATAACTGATAAAAGCCCAAGTGAACAGATTCTCAAGGCAACGTAATCTTTCAAACATGAATGTAAAAAAAGCTATTAATTTTTCTCTTGGGTGAAATAAAATTACAAAAATTAGAAAGACGATTCTTTAAGAAATTTTGTTGCTGTATGTCTTTTAAACTATCAAAATCATTTAAACTACATTACAAAGTTTTGATAACTACCTTTGCTGTTACATCTTCATCGTCTATTGTGGGAGTTTCATTTTAGATATGGAAATCAATAACTCCCCTAGGGCTTCCCTGGTGGCGCAGTGGTTGAGAGTCCGCCTGCCGATGCAGGGGACACTGGTTTGTGCCCCGGTCCGGGAAGATCCCACATGCCGCGGAGCAGCTGGGCCCGTGAGCTGTGGCCACTGAGCCTGCGCGTCCGGAGCCTGTGCTCCGCAACGGGAGAGGCCACAACAGTGAGAGGCCCGTGTACCGCAAAAAAATAAATAAATAAAAATACCTCCCCTAACAACTAATACATTTCTTGTTATCAGTGATTCAAAATAACAATTAGTTTTTTCCTTTCACTTTTCTCCCTAAAACTCCTCACACTTTTGACATCTTTTTTTTTTTCACTACCTAAGAAGTCAAACTAGGAGATGCAAAATAAAGCTCTAAATCCAATGAAAAAGAAGAAACCTCTAATCAACAACCGTGTAACATTCTATGACTAATAATCTTAAAGCCTCATTCAGAATATAACAACAGCACAAGGACTCCCCCCTTTTGAAATCAGTAATAAATATAAAGGCAGTTTCCATGTATCTCAAAAGTTGCAAAGGATTTCAGAAGCTAAAAATGATTTGAAAGTATTTCCTCAAGGGAAAAAAATGCCCAAATGTCTATAGTCCCTGGGAATGCAACAAAAGTGTATTCAATTTGCAATGAGCCCAAGGTACCACAATTTCACTTTCACCTGCCTATCTGAAATTATAACTAACTAAACTTCTAAGATGAAATACACTCTAATTTGGACCTTAGGATCCTTCATCCCTCTCTACTGACATAAGAAAAATCTCACCACTGAAAAATTAGCATATACCTGCATAAGATACAATGCTTAAACAGATTAAGCAAACAACTGGTTGTTTGAATTGTGAAAAAGAGGCTTTTTCCCTTACACTATGGAAGCTCCATAACCCGCAAACTCCATAGGTATCAATTTGTATGGCCACCCTTCCTACAAGGATAGCTTGCTCATTCTTATATTTCTACAGTATAGTACAGTGCATGGTACATAGAAGGCAATGTAAAAAAAAAAAACCTCCATAAAGGTTTGCTTAGTAAATAAATGTAGGTATAGATCACTTTGGGATTAAATGTATATACTTATATACAGTTGGTGAGCTATGTTTATACAGAAGAGTCATACCATAAATTAAACAAAATACAAACCCACAATCCTTTATCTTGGATTTGTTTTGAAATTCAGAATTATTCATGTCTTAGAAACTTAACATGGTGTATATACCATGAAATGTGAAATACTTCAGTGATATTCTGGGGCAGTATCATGTAATCAGTAACATTAATATTTCTGCAAAGAAACCTAAAACCATTCCCATTCAGTTGAATAAAGACTAAATCACATCTGTTCATGTTTCCTGCCACTGTATCAATGGATTATGAAATTACAGACGAGGGATTACAAACATGCAGAAAAGTTTAAATTCAGAAAGTTTTATCATCTTTCCTCCTCAGCTATTTCTATGAATGAATCAAGCAGAGCTTTGAAGGTATACAGAAATGAAATCGCTAGAAAGAAATTAAATGTGAAGATTTTTAAAGTCTAACTTACTGCTAGCCTGTGCTTGAGTTAGTTATAAATGAATATAATAGATATGTAATTAACCTTCGCACAAGATATTATCGTAAGAATCAAGTGAATTTAATTCATGTAAAGTGCTTATCACAGAGCCTGGTTCTCAGTGCGCACTTATGTATCAGCTATTAGTATCTGTAGCTCACTAAGATTCATTTGGACATTCCCTAAAGTATTATTCATTCAACAAATCTTTACTGAATTCCATGTGCCATACATGCTCCACAGCAGGAGATTAATGATAAAACAAGGCAGACGTATTTGTTGCACTCATGCTGCTTACCAGTTCATAAAACTTCTAAATTTGCCATATATTGATAGCTGTTATCAGTCTTTTGAGGATCACCTGATTTAATTCTACTTCAGTCATAAATGGATCCTCTTAGCTCAAAAATATTTTACTGAATTTTTAAATATTTCCTTAAAAGGTGATTCCATTTCTTCCCTCAGTTGCCCTCAACAACCCTCAACCACAGAAGATATGAAGGACTAATGTTACAAAGTGAACCTTACTTAAAAACTTGGTACTCCAGGAAGGAATAAACTGAGGGACTGAGTCTAATCTAAGTTAAAACACAAAATAATACCTTTCCATAGTAATTCCTGCTCTGGATGCACTAGATAAAATGGCAGTCAGAGCAATCTGGGAAGGTGTGTATAACAGGTGAGCATCCGTCAGTGCAACTCTATTAAGAAAGTCATCAGCTGTTTTCCTCAAAATCTCTGGATTCTCCAACATGGGATAGCGAGTCTAGAAAGAAAGTTTGCAAATGTTATCACTTCTGAGAGTCTCATGGAGTAATAACAGTACAAACAGTACAAACTATTCCTATAAACCAGAAAGTGCTTAACACAGGATACTTTTAGTAACTCCTGTAAGATCACATTTAGAAACCAAAGCACCACCTCATTTTGATTTGAAATTCCTTCTACTAAAAGTTTACTTTTGGGAAATGAATCTTGGTTTGATTACAGAACTATTTTTAGTATACGCCCAAGAAATATGGATGATCCCCTATTTTCTAACCATTCTTACCCTTTAAAATGAACCCTAAATCCTAAACCCTCAGATATATTTCAGATATCTACATTCAAGTCCCAAAGCAGTAAGAAATCTTTTCTATACTCTGAAACAAAATAGCCAGAGTCAACTGTACAATCACACACAGGTCTTGTCATCCCAAAATGCCTGACCTCTGATATGACAAATCCAACATTCTACTCTGACCCAGCATTCCCTTTGCTCAGTTACTTCACAGCTGTTCTTTGACTTCCTCCTCAGGACCTCTGGTTCCTTATCCCTATACTTGCTTCTACTCACCAGTGTCCACTGGTTCTCATTTCCCTCTTCCATTCCCTGCCCCAGTATGCTGCCAACATATTTCCAGCAAAACTTCAATAGTGGTCGAATTCAACCAACCTTCTGCTTTGCAACTATACCCAGATTTCTGGGTGCTGCTAGAGAAAACAATACAACCAACAGGTCTGGTAATATTACTATAAATTCAAGTTCACTGATCTCAACAAGGCTCTCAACACTGCCTAGCTAAAATATTCCACAGAAAATGTATTCTCCCATTTTTCAGTGATTATGTTAAAAACTTTCTACCTGACTCAATATCTTTGATAATTCTCAGAAACTCCACTGCTCTCAGAAAATGATCTCTGTTGATAACAAAGACACTGTATTTCCTGCTATGGCCAAATCCCCAAACATAACGTTATCCTCACCCATGCTTTCCTCTTTCCCTCCGTTAAGAGAAATAGCCAGTTTTTCTACCTTGCTTCAAAATCCCATGCCAGGCCCTTCTACCACACTCCAAAGGAAAACTTGAGCTACACATGTTCCATTAAGCTTTCTCTACTAGTGTTCTAAAGTTTCTCATGCAAAACAAAACATGACAAAAAACTGTTCCTTTCTTCTACTTCTAGCAGTTCCCCCATCTTCTCAATCATCCCATCTTCTTTTCCCACTTCAAAGACAAGCTGTTTAATCCAAGTTATACACACTTGTTTTCTCACCTTCTATTCCCCAGCCAGCTCCAATCTGTTTTTTTCCTTCACACTCCAAGAAGACTAATTTCACCAAGATCACAAGTCACCTTTCTGGCACTAAAGCTAGCAAACGTCAACTTTTACTTTGCCTGAATTCTGTGCAGGATTGGAGAGCTTCCCCGATCATATCCTAAAAGTATTCTACTTCCCTTCACTTCTCCAAAAGTCCTACCTCTTTGGATATTCTTCAGTCTTCTTACTAGCTTCTTACTTTTCTCTAGCTACCCTTTAAATGGTCCTTATGGCCAATCCACTTTAAATCTTCCTGGGGCAGCAGTGATGCCCAAATCTATGCCTCCAGCCTAGCCATCTTCTCTGGCCTCCAGACACAAATATGTACCAACCTGAATGTCTTGCAAGCAATGGAAATTCATCATGTCCCAAACCAGATTCATCAAATCCCTACCCCACCACCATCAATAAATCTCTCCTGTGCCACTGTTTCCTGTATAAGTGTACCACCATCCACCAATACGCTCAGGCCAGAAACCTGGGGGTTCTTCCACTGTCCTCGCTCTCTGTACGCAATCATTCCTCAAGCTCTACTGATTCTAAAGCCCAAGAAGCTCTCTCTGTACCCACTACCACTTCATGAGTCAAACCAACCACTGTCTTTCTGCTTGAACTACTGTAACAGCATCCCAACTGGTATCCCTTCATCCATTCGAATCCATTCTGCACGTTATGCCTGACACATACAGGTGTGCAATAAACATCTGACGCAGGCTGATGCATGAGTTTGCCAACATGTTTTTTATAGCTGCAAACCTAATCATGTCACTCATCAGACTTGACCCTTTCACTGGCATCCCATTGCTCTATTCAAAATCTGTAATGTTACCTCCACAGTCTACACTCTGCTTTCAACTCAGGCAGCACTCCGTGGCAGTCCTCCCCATTTACCTCTAAGTTCTGTTTAGGTTCTTTAGTACACCATGGTTTGTTAAGTCTGGGCCTTTGACCAGAAGAGTCTCTCTGAATGGGATGCTCTTCCACCACCCAATCCCTACTCTTGCTCTGAATTTTACTTCAAATTACACTTTCTCAGAACTGTCTCCCCTTCTCAATCTGCTATCTCCTTCTAAAGTACCCTGTATTTCCCCTTCTGTTAACACTTAGCACACTGAATATACGATTGTCTTTCCCATTAGACTGTAAGGCCTATGAAGGGGAGGCTGTTCCTGTCTTGTTCTTGACTACATCCTCAAGCACCATGTTTGACATATAGAAGGCACCCAAATTTGGCCACTCAAGATGAATGAACCAGTTTTTGACTTCTGTTCACTTAACTCACACTATCTAAAGTCCTTCTTCAGGGCCAAAACAAAACAAGCTGCTTTTGTCAATGTTCTGACAAAACATTTATTTACTGTTATTTTTGATGCCCACATATTGACTTCAGTTCACAATGCCCTAAAAATAGAAGTCACTTAGCAATCTTGTAGTTTAAAATTAAGAATTTTGTATGTATGAAGATCCAAGACAGTATACTTGAGTTAGAAGAGTTATCTGAAGTCTTTAAAAGCATTACAGTTGTCCTCATTATGGTCCCTGGACGAGTATTTGCAAATCTACTAGATAAGAAGCTCAAGAACTACAGTCTGACACTCTCAGTTAATAAGCCCTCCATGTGATTCTGATGCACACTGAAGTTTGAGAACCATTGCCCTAGAAGTCCAGGCCAAACACATTTTAGCAAGCTAACTGTGTAACAATTAGGATCATTACTAGTTATAAAAAAATTTTGATTATTTTGGTTAAAGAACAATAGCAAAGGAGTTTACTCCACCAGTTTACTTTAGTCAGCAAGATTACCTTTAAATCAATGAGAAAGCCCTCAAAGGGTCTATAAGGATTGTGGACAATAAGGTGGAAATTAAGTTGCTGTATAAGTAGTAGTTCATATTCCAAAATCTGTTCGAGTGCCTTCTCTTGTCCAAGAGGACTCTCCCGCAGATTTCCAACAAACTGTGGACTAGACACATTGAATTCATCCACTTTACAGGCCAAAAATGCACAAGTGAGCCTAGAGGAAAAAATAAGGGGAAGGATATGTATATACTTCGAGAAATACCAAAATATTTCTAAAATATGTTCTAAAATTGCCTAATATTCACAAATGACTATACTAGACAACTAAGGAAATTGATTTAAAAAAAGAGAGTTTCCTGTTTAATCTTTTTATCCATACGGAGACTATAAAAATTAGGTTGAACTGTATAACAGTGCCACAGCATTCAATCATTAGTAACTTAATGCCAGTTTTATATAGTTCAGCCCAAGTATCTGGAAAAACAAAATAACTGAAGAATAAGGGTACTCAGCATCATGAAATATAGATGGAAGAGAAAAAAAAATAGTACACACATATGTACATATGGGCCTGAGAAGAAAGGTGTTAAAGAAACATTATGGAAAGCCATCAGTGGAAGTCTCCAAGGACATTTAAATAGGGGATTATTACCTCAGGAACAAACCTATGAAACTCTCATGGCTACTACATAAATTTCAGAGTGAGAAATTAGTAGTAATAAGATTACCACAAAAACAAAGACTGGAAGTAAGAAGGGCCTGACCTAGACTGGTAGAAATGGAAATGAAAAAGAGAAAATATACAGGGACAGCACAATTGACAGCAAGTTCTTTGATGAGTCTCATACTAACTTCATTCTTATTTTTAATGATAAGCACAGTGCTTAGCAGAGGGCAGAAACAAAACAGACCTTTGTTCAAGTGAAATGACTATGGAACTATAGGACTTGTAAACTGATGGGATGTACAGGAAGAGGAGTTACCGTAAATGATTCTCAGAGCAAATGGGCGAAGACAAGTTCAGCTAACAGAAAGGGATATTATGGAAGCCAGTTTAAGAAAAACAGAATTTGAATTTGGACAAGTGCCAAAACTGATGCCATCAGTATTACAGGGAAGGAAGAATTATACAGGTATATTAATGAGTATCAGGAGGGATCTTAAGTTCAGAATAGAATGAAAGTCTAAATTACCCTTTATTAGGAAGTCATTTTTTCACACACACATGCTCAAAGAGTATAAAAGTCTTCTTAAATGAAAATCAATAAATTAGACTTATACTCACATTATTATCCGCGGGTGATATTCCATTACTGAGTTATTAAGATAAAAGCGCTTGAAATACATACAAGCTGTACCCTAAGATTAAAAATACATATATTATCAGAACCTATTCACACATACAAGTTAAATTTTGTATTTTAAAAAAAACTTATTTATGCCAAGGTTTCTTTGAAAAAGTCACCTTAAAAAAACCCCAAAACTTATTACTTCTTAAGTCAAAATAAATTGTGATAAATTACAACAGAAAAACCACAGCCAAGCCTTTGTTGTCCTTCCCCACCTATCCTGGCTTATCCTTCCTATGGTCACTGGCTTAATTTTAAAAATGTGGGGGGGGGGTTTTACACAATTATATATATTTGTATAATTTATACAAATGATCACAGCTTAAGCAGTCCACTTAGTAAAATACTGGCAGAATAACATGGTCAGGGCAATGAGCCTTCTCTCTAAATCCACTCTGGTTCTGTGATCTAACCTGCTGCCACACCAAACAGGAGAAGCAGCACCTACCATTTACTGACTGCACCCCATGTGCCACACTCTGTGCCAAGTATAAAACTATCATCTTATTTTAATTATAACAGCTTGGTGAGGTACTGCTATCTCTATAGAAGAAGAAACTGAATATCAATGAGGTTAGCTGACTTGTTCAAGGTCACAAATCTAATAAGGGACAGGGCTGTTTTCAACCAAGGTCTGCTTGTACTTTTTTAAAAACTATTTCATTTGGCTAGAACCAATGAAATAAATATTTATCTACTTTAGAATAGAAAAAAATACATTTCTTTTTAAATATTTTAAAAGTTTAGTTTTGTCATTTTATGTGAAACAAAAACCAAAACAGTTATAAATAAGCAAGTTATATAAAGACAAATTCCACAAAGAAGTTCATTCAAGGATTCAGTTTCTTCATCTGAAAAGATCACTTAAACCTACCACCTTGTGTTACTGTTTTCTTATCAGAAAAGACTAAGATCAAATCTGGAAATAGAAAGCAAGCACATCTAAAATTTTTCATGAATCAGGTCTCTTAGATAAAGGTCCAGTAAAAAACAGAAAACACTATGAATACTTTTGGACTTGGTATTTTCAATATACTTCAGTTTTTTCAACTATAAAAATGAAGAATATTTTCTAGGAGTTTATTCTTTTCTGGGCCATAAATTATTCACTTGGTATAACTTTAAAATGTATGATCTACTTTCACTTAAGACAAAACTTTCATATTTGATATTCACAACAAATCTGTGAGATAAGAGAAAAATATTTTATATACCTTTCCCCCCTTTTTTTTTTTTTTTTTTTTTTCGTTATGTGGGCCTCTCACTGTCGTGGCCTCTCTCGTTGCGGAGCACAGGCTCCGGACATGCTGGCTCAGCGGCCATGGCTTATGGGCCTAGCCGCTCTGCGGCATGTGGGATCTTCCTGGACCAGGGCACGAACCCGTGTCCCCTGCATCGGCAGGTGGACTCTCAACCACTGCGCCACCAGGGAAGCCCCTTTCCCCCTTTTTAATCTTTCAGCTTTTAAATTTCAGTTTAATTTTCTATCAACAAAAATACACAAATCCAGGCAAAGGAACAAAATAATACCCCAGCTGGACAACTAAGTGAAGTGGAGACAGGTAATCTACCTGAAAAAAAAGTCAGAGTAATGCGGTAAAGATGATCCAAGATCGGAAAAAAAATGGAGGCACACAAGACACAAGAAATGTTTAACAAAGAGCCAGAAAATGTAAAGAACAAACAAACAGATGAACAATACCTTAACTCAAATGAAAAATACATTAGAAGGAATCGATAGCAAAATAAATAAGGCAGAAAAGTGGATTAGTGAGCTGGAAGACAGAATGGTGGAAATCACTGACACAGAACAGATTAAAGAAAAAAGAATGAAAAGAAATGAGGACAGTTTAAGAGACCTCTGGGACAACATTTAAGTCCACCAACATTTGCATTATAGGGGTTCCAGAAGGAGAGACAGAGAAAGGGCCTGAGAAAATATTTGAAGAGATTATAGCTGAAAACTTCCCTAAAATGGGAAAGGAAACAGTCACCCAAGTCCAGGAAGCACAGAGGATAAACCCAAGGAGGAACACAATGAGACACATACTAATCAAACTGACAAAAATTAAAGACAGAGAAAATATTAAAAGCAACAAGGGGGAAAAAGCAACAAATAACATACAAGGGAATCCCCATAAGGTCATCATCTGATTTTTCAGCAGAGATTCTACAGGACAGAAAGGAGTGCCACGATACATTTAAAGTGATGAAAGGGAAAAACATACAACCAAAAATACTCTACCCAGCAAGGCTCTCGTTCAGATTCGACAGAGGAATCAAAAGCTTTACAGGCAAGAAAAAGCTACAAGAATTCAGCACCACCAAACCAGCTTTCCAAAAAATGCCAAAAGAATGCCTTTTCTATCGGAAAAGAAAAGGCCACAACTAGAAACAAGAAAATTACAAATGGGACAGCTCACTGGTAAAAGCAAACATAAAGGTAGGAAATCATCCACACATAAATCAAAAGTAGCAATTGTGAGGAGAATACAAATGAAGGATATTGGAAATGCATTTGAAATTAAGAGACCAGGAACTTAATCTTGTGTGTGTGTGTGTGTGTGTGTGTGTGTGTGTGTAGACTACTATACCAAATCTTCATGGTAACCACAAACCAAAAATCTACAATAGAAAAAGCAATCCAAACACAACAGTAAAGGTAGTCATAAAATCACAAGAGAGGAGAACAAAAGAGGAAGGGAAGAAAAAAGACCTAATAAAACAATCCCAGGGACTTCCCTGGTGGTGCAGTGGTTAGGAATCTGCCTGCCAGTGCAGGGGACACAGGTTCAATCCCTGGTCCGGGAAGATCCCACATGCCACAGAGGAACTAAGCCCGTGCACCACAACTACTGAGCCTGCGCTCTAGAGCCCGCAAACCACAACTACTGAGCCCGTGTGCCACAACTACTGAAGCCCGTGTGCCTACAGCCCGTGCTCCGCAACAAGAGAAGCCACCACAATGAGAAGCCCATGCACCGCAACAAGAGTAGCTCTCGCTTGCTGCAACTAGAGAAAGCTGGCACATAGCAACGAAGACCCAATGCAGCCAAAAATAAATAATTAATTTAAAAAAATATTTAAACTCCATCTAAGAGTACACAGCTTAAAAAAAATCCCAAAACAATAACAAAATGGCAATAAGAACATACATATTAGTAATTACCTTAAATGTAAATGGATTAAACGCTCCAACCAAAAGACACACACTGGCTGAATGGACACAAAAACAAGACCCATATATATGCTGTCTACAAGAGACCCACTTCAGACATAGGGACACATACAGACTGAAAGTGAGGGGATGGGAAAAGATATTCCATGCAAATGGAAATCAAAAGAAAGCTGGAGTAGCGAGACTCAGACAAAACAGACTTTAAAATAAAGACTGTTGCAAGATTCAAAAAAGACCACTACATAATGATAAAGGGATCAATCCAAGAAAAAGATATGACAATTGTAAATATATATGCACCCAGCACAGGAGCACCTCAATAGATAAGGCAAATGCTAACAGCCAGAAAAGGAGAAATCGTGGGGGATTTTAACACCCCACTTATACCAATGGACAGATCATCCAAACAAAATCGATAAGGAAACACAGGCCTTAAATGACACATTAGACCAGATGGACTTAATTGATATTTCTAGAGCATTCCACCTGAAAGCAGAATACACATTCTTCTCAAGTGCACACAGAACATTCTCCAGGATAGATCACATGATGGGACATAAAGCAAGTCTAGATAAATTTAAGAAAACTGAAATCATGTCAAGCATCTTTTCCAACCACAATGCTGTGATTAGAAATCAACCACAAGAAAAAAACTGTAAAAAACACAAACACCTGGAGGCTAAACAATATGCTACTAAAAACCAATGGATCACTGAAGAAATCAAAGAGGAAATCAAATTCCTAGAGACAAATGAAAACGAAAGCATGACGATCCAAAAGCTATGGGACACAGGAAAAACAGTTCTAGGAGGGAAGTTTATAGCAATACAATCTTACCTCAGGAAATAAGAAAAATCTCAAATAAACAACCTAGCCTTACACCTAAAGCAACTAGAGAAAGAACAAACAAAACCCAAAGTTATCAGAAGGAAAGATATCATAAAGATCAGAACAGAAATAAATGAAATAGAGATGAAGAAAACAAAAGATCAATGAAACTAAAAACTGGTTCTTTGAAAAGATAAACAAAACTGATAAACCTTTAGCCAGACTCATCAAGAAAAAAAGGGAAAGGGCTCAAATCAATAAAATTAGAAATGAAAAAGGAGAAGTTAGAATGGACACCACAGAAATACAAAGGATCATAAGAAAAGACTACAAGCAACTATATGCCAATAAAATGGACAACCCAGAAGAAATGGACAAATTCTTTGCACAGTAAAATCAAGCAAAACTGAACCAGGAAGAAAAGGAAAATATGAATAGACCAATCACAAGCACTGAAATTAAAACTGTGGTTAAAAAACTCCCAACAAACAAAAGTCCAGGACAGGATGGCTTCACGGGCAAATTCTATCAAACACTTAGAGTTAACACCTATCCTTCAGAAATATTTCAAAAAATTACAGAAGAAGAAACACTCGCAAACCCATTCTATGAGGCCACCATCACCCTGATACCACAAGTAGACAAAGATACCACAAAAGAAAATTACAGGCCAGTATCACTGATGAACATAGACTCAAAAACCCTCAACAAAATACTAGCAAACAGAATCCAACAATATATTAAAAAGATCATACACCATCATCAAGTGGGATTTATCTTAGGATGCAAGGATTTTTCCATATCTGCAAATTAATTAGTGTGATACACCATATTAACAAATTGAAGAATAAAAACTATATGATCATCTCAATAGATGCAGAAAAAGCTTGAGAAAATCCAACACCCATTCATGATAAATACTCTCCAGAAAGTGGGCATAAAGGGAACATACTTCAACATAGTTAAGGCCATAAATGACAAACGTACAGCTAACATCATAGAGGATGTTAAAAAGTAAATGCTGAAAGCATTTCCTCTATGATCAGGAACAAGACAAGGATGTCCACCTTCGACACTGTTTCTGAACATAGTTTTGGAAGTTTTAGCCACGGCAATCAGAGAAGAAAAAGAAACAAAAGGAATTCAAATTGGAAAAGTAGTAAAACTGTCACTGTTTGCAGATGACATGATACTAAGGAAATCCTAAAGATGCTACCAGAAAACTACTAGAGCTCATCAATTAAACTGGTAAAGTTGCAGGATACAAAATTAATATACAGAAATCTCTTGCATTTCTATACACTAACAATGAAAGATCAGAGAGATATTAAGAAAACAATCCCATTTACCATCACACGAAAAAGAATAAAATACCTATGAAGAAACCTACCTAAGGAGGCAAAAGACCTGAACTCTGAAAACTATAAGACACTGATGAAAGAAATTGAAGATGACACAAACAGATGGAAAGATACACCATGTTCCTAGATTGGAAGAATCAGTATTGTCAAAATGACTGCACAGTTAAGTCCCCTACATCTGAATGAGTTCCATTCAGAGTGCGTTCGTAAGTCCAATTTGTTCATAAGTCCAATTAAGTTAGCCTAGGTACCCAACTAACACGATTGGGAAACTATATAAGTACTATACTGTAATAGATTTATAATACTTTTCACACAAATAATACATAAAAAACAAACAAAAAATAAAAAATTTTTAATCTTACAGTACAGTGCCTTGAAAAGTACAGTAGTACCAGTTACATCTCCACTGCTTTTTCGCTTGCTTCTGGACATCCTGGGTTTGAAATAAAGATACTGTACCACTGTACTCTATACAGTACTGTACTGTAAAGTACACAAAAGCACAACCACTTGTAGAGGATGCACACATATGACAATGTATGCCAGACATGTGAACTAACTTAATGTGATTGGACATGTAAACGCACGTTTGCATCTTTGAAAGTTTACAACTTGAAGGTTCATATGTAGCGGACTTACTGTACTACCCAGAGTAATCTACAGATTCAATGCAATCCCTATCAAATTACCAATGGCAGTTTTTGCAGATCTAGAACCAAAAATCTTAAAATTTGTATTGAAACACAGAAGACCCCAAACAGCCAAAGCAATCTTAAGAAAAATGGAGCTGAAGGAATCATGCTCCCTGACTTCAGACTATACTATAAAGCTACAGTAATCAAAACAGTATGGTACTGGCACACTAACAGACACATAGATCAATGGAACAGCATAGAAAGCCCAGAAATAAACCCACACACCTATGGTCAGTTAATCTACGACAAAGGAGGAAAGACTATACAATGGAGAAAAGACAGTCTCTTCAATAGTGGTCCTGGGAAAACTGGACAGCTACATGTACAAGAATGAAATTTAGAACACTAACACCATACACAAAAATAAACTCAAAACAGATTAAAGACCTAAATGTGAGACCAGACACTATAAAACTCTTAGAGGAAAACAGGCAAAACAGTCTTTGATGTAAATCACAGCAATTTCTTTTTTGACCCACCTCCCAGAGTAATGAAAATCAAAACAAAATAAACAAATAGGACCTAATTAAACTTGAAAAGCTTTTTGCACAGCAAAGGAAACCACAAACGAGAAGACAACCATCAGAATGGGAGAAAATATTTGCAAATGAAGCAACCAACAAGGGATTAATCTCTGAAATATACAAACAGCTTGTGCAGCTCAAAATCCAAAAAACTGACAACCCAATCAAAAAATGGGCAGAAGATCTAAATAGACATTTCTCCAAAGAACACATACAGATGGCCAAGAAGCACATGAAAAGATCCTTGACATTGCTAATTATTAGAGAAATGTAAATCAAAACTACAACGAGGTATCACCTCACACAGCTCAGAATGGCCATCATCAAAAAATCCACAAACAATAAATGCTGGAGAGGGTGTGGAGAGAAGGGAACCCTCCTACACTGTTGGTGGGAATGTAAATTGGTACAGCCACTGTGGAGAACAGCATGCAGTTTCCTTAAAAAACTAAAACTGGGGGCTTCCCTGGTGGTGCAGTGGTTGAGAATCTGCCTGCTAATGCTGGGGACACGGGTTTGAGCCCTGGTCTGGGAGGATCCCACGTGCCGCGGAGCAACTAGGCCCGTGAGCCACAACTACTGAGCCTGTGCATCTGGAGCCTGTGCTCCACAACAGGAGAGGCCGCGACAGTGAGAGGCCCGTGCACTGCGATGAAGAGTGGCCCCCGCTTGCCACAACTAGAGAAAGCCCTCGCACAGAAACGAAGACCCAACACAGCAATAATTAATTAATTAATTAATAAACTCCTACCCCCAACATCTTAAAAAAAAAAAAAGGTTGGGGACCGCTGTGTTATAAGACTCTCCTCTTTAAAAAAAAAAAAAAAAAAAA